GGGGGGGGGCGAGTACTTATTGTTCGTTTTTTAATCCACTTATTTTTTCATCCAATGGTAAATAATCGTTTTGAGTTTTTGTCAATCGCCTTCCTTACCCGTTCCACGTTCCTATTTTGTATGCGAATCTACTTACTAATAAGTCCTTGCTATACTTGGTTTTCTTATTTGCATTTTCACTTCACAATATTTAACCCCAACGAAAATATCCGAAATGAGAGAAGTCAGGAGACACTGTGGGAAAAACATGATCAGTTATTAGGTTCTAGAGTATACTAGTGCATGTGAGGTTCGTTCGATCAGCCGTGGTGTTGTTGTAGATTCTGAGCACACCCGATAGTTATTTGGAACTCTCAGTCTTCAGTCTCGCTTCGTGTGCTCATTAATGCACAAGTATGCTGTGGAGCTTTGGTGCGACCACATAGATATCTCCGCAATTTCTTGCGTTACATGATCACCACAGTCCTTACGCTCCCTTATCTCTCTTTCTAACTCCCCCCACCCCTCTCCTTTTCAAACCTTCCCTTCTATTTTCCATGGTCAAATTAGCGTTTAGTTGAGTGTGGGATAAACACAACCATATGCACATGCATTTATTGATAAAGTGGCAAAGTGAGAAGGTAGTTTTGGGGAAGGATAGGGGAGATATAGTTCATGGAATTCAGATTAACTACTTATTTTCTTCTCAGTTCGAAGGGCATCTGTAGCAACTATTCCAAATGATCCTTTGTAGAAGCTCGCGCCGAATCGAATGTCACCGCTTAAGGCGGTGGTATTCTGAAATATGACATTTCAATCACCCCTCCTCTTTTACCACTTAAAGCAACAAATATACCATTAGACACCGGAAGTTCTTTTTTTGTGTATCGTTACATCTCAGAACCATGTCATGGAGAGAGTGCGATAACTTACCTTTGTTATGGGCATTCCTAGGCAATTTGCAGCCATGCATTTCACTCTCCTTTGAATTCCCCTGAAGTGAGTTTTTGAAGTTCAATTCGATGATAATATATAAGCTGCGTATTACCATTGCTGATTCGATGGGCCTATTAAGACGTCTCTATTAAACGGGGTGGATAGTAGTGTTCCAAATCTCTCTCTCCCCCTCTCTTTCTCCCTATTTATGAGTGATTTCCCATTTAACTTTGCGTGTGTTTTTCTCTCTACAATGCTTATTCAATTTAAGCTGGTTTCAATTCTACATCTGTGTTAATTAACTCTTTCTCTAGTCATTGCTGAGGTTTGCAAAATTGCTCCTTATGAAGTTGAAACGGAGTTTTCTCTTCACTGCAATTGCAAAAAACGTTGCCCCAAAGTTATTGGCACCCATTTGATTGTTTTTTTTGTTTGTTTTACTTTTAAGTTTTAATTCGGTGTCTATGTTAGTTACGTATTGCATCCCTAAGTGGCCTTATAGGCGTTGATTTATTGTGTTATCGCGCTGTTGAGTGCAATCAAAGTGTAGGAGAGTTATTTTATTATTATCTCAATTGCTATGCTGCAGTAGCAAAATGGATAAGTGAGTAACAAGTAGGTCAGGAAATATTTGTGGGAAAATTCCTAAGCGCTTGACTTGCTTAGAGGGAGAGAGTATATTGGAGTCTGTCCTATGAGAAATTAACATTAAACCACATTGCATGTTGATCTGTGTCAAGAAGCATGACAATATTTTCATACGCGTAGCCCTTATTTGCAGTTTCTATATGTCTCCCAATAGCGCACTTCCAGTGTGATGAGTGTTCTGTCAAATTCTCGTCAATGAGAGGTAGTAAATGCGAGTTTTTTGTAAGGACGACTTCATGGCATATTCCCTCCTACCGAGTTCGAGTGCTTTGAACATTTCTTAAGGCCTTGATTTTTGCTATTTCGATTAGGCGGTGTCAATGCGAGTTTAATTAACCCATTGCATTGCTTTAAATGACGCTTCCCTTTTGTTTACACTTTCATAGACTCAGGAGATTCTTCTATTGCACCACCTCATCCGAAACCTACCCCCGACGATCAGCAAAATCAGTTGGCTAATCACTCATTCGACGGAAATTCCTCTACTGCTGCCGCCTCCTTCTTAGCAGCTTCCGAATCGGTTGACGAAGTAGCGACGCATCTCACTTTTTCCTTATCCCCTACTCAACACGGCTCACAGTCCTCCACCGTCAATATCACTCCCCCTCGAGTTAGTGCTCGGACCTCTTCTCTGGGTAATAGCGACAATAGTCACATGAACAGGGACGTTAACGGCTGTAACGTTAACGGAAACAACGTTTCTCCCGGTCCTCTTTCCTCTACTCCTATTAACAACACTGACGCCCTGACTTCTGAGTTGAAACTTCGACTCGCGTATGTTCTTGTTCATTAGCTCGTTCTCGGGTTCGATTTCCAATAGAGCGCGTTTGACAGGCAAAGCGGAGTTTACTTTGTCTGTTTGAGAGGGTGGCTAAATACGAGTTTCTCACCAGAATCGCCTTGATACCACTCCCTCTCTAACGTAGCTGAGTGTTAGAAACGCTTTCCCAAGCGTGTTTATGACTTAAAAATTTAATAATTAGTTTTACGATCTACAGCGCTCATTACCAACGAGAGACGAAGGAAAAAACTGGCTCTCGTTATAGTGAAATGTAATATAGTCAAATAATTTGTTGAGTAAAATTGGGGATTTAGAGTTCAATTATTTATTTATTTATATCAAATGGCAGGCGTCTTGATGGCTATCATTAGCCCCTAAGTTGACTTCAGGCTTCGAAGAGAGGAGGAGGAACTTCAAAGTGAAAAAGTTGAGAGGGGAGGGGGGGGATAGAAGTGTTTCAAAGACAAAGGTAGAAAAAGGTGAGGTGAGTACTGTGAAAGTAGTCGAATATGACATACAGTGGGGTGATGGTAGTTTGAAGTGAGAAGTCAACTGCTGGTTAGTAGACTTTTTGCCGTATGAGTATACGTTACCCAGTGCACACCACGTGGAGATAAGTCTATTGCACACCCCAGAGTTCAATTACAGAATGTGGTTAAAAGTCGAGGGCAAAATCGAGGAATCGAACGAGTTTTTTTTTAATAAATCTCTGAGCTTATCATTTTATTGGCGGAAGAACAAGTTATTGCCTTTAATCTAAGGAGTTTCTGCTTAGATGTTGTTCTTCCCTTCTTTTTCTATTCTTGGCAAGCAGCAAGTTTAAGGAAGAGGATTATTGGTTGAGAAGTGAGAGCTCAGGCCAAAACGGGCATAATCTGGGTACATTTAGTGGTCCTTTTATATTTCAGAATGCGACGAAATTCCCCTCCATCCATTCAACAATCTTCCCAAAGAACAAATGGTAATGGGATTCCCGATTCACGTTCTTCCGCTCCAGTTCTTCCCTCCAACTCAAATACTTCCTCTCCTGCTCAACTCTCAGTCTCTGAACTCTCCGCCCGCTTTAATTCTGGACTGCAATTCCATACTCATCGTTCACATCAACCTCTCATTTCTGTTACAACCTCGTCCATGGGCGAGGAAATTTCAGATGAGGAATCTGAAAGTGAGTTATCTGTTTCTTGGCACTGGAAAGGGGGAACTTCTTCCCTGTTGAAATTCAGGCGATATGTTTGGCGCGTAATCGATAGGTTATGCGCTTGAAGACTTCGAATTCTTGCTTAACTATCATCCTTCTGGCTTCTTTCGATTCTCGCCATACACAACAAGAGAGAAGGCATTTTTTGAAAAGAATTCTATTGATAATAGAGAGAAATTGCAAAGTGGTGGATTAGTGAGACTATGCGAGGTCATGGTTGGTCAACAGTAAGTAAGTGGTTAATTAAATCAGGATGTCTCAATTCCTGCTTAACCCAAGCTCGCAAGCATTAACTTTCCCTGTATTTTCATAGAAGTTCATTTTGCAATGTCATCAGCCTTCTTATTCATTTTCGCGGTTAGCCAAACCACCCAATTTAGTCGCACATTGCAGCTCTCACTACGGCTTACTCAATGTGAACTGTGCAAGATTAGCCAAGATAGAGGATTTGGCACCTCTCAGAAATGCTAATTATAACCTGAAATGCAAATTTATTTACGCTTATCCCCTTTAGATATCCGAGTCTCTTCACCTCCTCCCAATACGCCTGAGGAGTTAGCCAATCTTCGTCGTGCGGATTCGAACTTATGGCAGAGAAGAGCTCATCATTTGGCCGGCTTTCTTGAACGTCGTCCATCTCAACAGGATCTCTTGGCGAAGAATATTCTCTCCAGTCGAACATCCCAAATGCGTGCTGAATTGCGCGCTAAAATTGAAATCAGCCTGGAACGCCAACTCAGTCAACGACCTTCGGTTGTGGAGTTGGAGCAGAAGAATATCTTGCACAGTAACCGCCTATATTCTTACATGCAGTAGTAATGAGTTGATTCAAAGGCGTCTAATTACAGCTTCCTTGTTATCTTTACTTTAGTGGGATCTGAAGAGTCTAGGCTGAAGGAGAAGGAGGAGAAGAAAAAGAATCTCTCGAGAAAGGTTTGTCTTCGTGTCTGTGTTGGTTAATTGATAAAATGTTTCATAATATTAAATGCGAGGGGTTGAATGGGCAGATTTTGTTTACAACCTCATAAAAATGAAACTTTTCTCCGTAATCGTAGTGTGCTGTAGTGCTGTTAGAGTTTATTACCCATTAGATATCGCTAGGGTGCTAATGACTCAGATCTGATGAAGGAATGGGAGAATGGAATACGGTTAGCCTTAGACATTTTACTTATTATGTTGAATTGCTAGTTGTCTTGATATTGTCGATTTATTAGCATTAAGACGCGCATGAACGGGTAATCGTTTTGGTTTCAAGTAACTGTCCACCCGAAAATCGATAATGGTGATGGGCAACTTTGATATTTGAAGACATTATGCCATAGTTTGAAGTGTCCATTTTCTAACATGTTATCTTATTTTTCAAGCAATTGTCGAAATCTTTCTTTCCATCTCACTTTGAACAGCTATTCCGTGCTTTGATGCAGGTTCTTGTTCCACTACGGTAGGTTTGCCCATAAGGAATTAAAGCTGGCGGAATGCATCGGTAGTGATATCTCATCGCTTACCAAGTACTCATTGGTGTTCTCAATATGATTGTTTCCATTGGCATTAGTCCAACTCCCATTTGCTTGTGTTACTTTCATCTTTACGGTGTTGCGAAGTTATCTATTTTGTTCCGTTTTCTGCTTTCTAACATTGTTTATAAGTTTCCTTCTTCACCTAACGCGTCTCCATTGGGAACTTTTGCTCCAGTTCCACTGATCACAGGACTTATACTGCACCTTCTAATAGATATATCCGTCAACGACTCATTTCTATCTTTTGGTAGCTGAGTTTTGTGGGTTTGGAAATGGAGCTGAATTAGATAATTTTCCCCATAATGCACTTTCATCTTGAAAATTAGATCATCCCCCTTAACATAACGATTTCAAGTTGTGTATCGCTCTCGTCCGATAGAATTTTGCTTGTTTATATGCAATTCAATACTTGGACATTGTCGCTGTTTTGGCAAAAACGCAAAGCCGACATCCAATTAACGATAGCATGAAAAACAGTCATCATGTCCTCTAATTTGTCTTTTTCTATTCGACCCTCTAGCTCTCATTCCGCCCCTCTGTAGAAGAACTGAAAAATCGTCGAATTATCCGATTCAACGATTACGTGGAAGTCACAGAGGCTGTCAACTATGATCGACGCGCCGACAAGCCATGGACTCGGCTCACTCCAAAAGACAAGGTAAAAGATTATCTCTTCTACTTTTTCCCCTGGAGCGCATCTTCACCTTTTCTAGCGTGTTTGTAGAACAAGTTGCACGGAGGTGGTTCTTCTGATGAGGAACTCACCGTCTTTTTAACCCAAGTTAGCCATCCATATTGGTGGATAAGTCTCTGTTTAGTCTTTGTATTATGCCTCTGTGTTGGGAGGTTTCTCATTGGAGTTCTTTGAGCTAGCGCCTGGATATTTAATTTTCTTATGCTCCGTGAACCTAACATTTTCCGTGGATGAGTATTCTGGGTAACCTTTGCTCTATCATGTTTTAATTTAAGAAGAGTTGGCCAAATCATTGTATTTTTTCAATGGTTTTGCTCGAATTTTACTTAATAAAAAGTTGGGATGGTCCCTGACGACTGTCTAATTTCTCAACCAGGCAGACATATAATTTGAGTCAATTTGTACTTTTGTATCAAGATCAAAGTAGGTTTTGGTGATTTTCTACTGCAATTATTTTGCTCATCAGATTGCTGCATTAATTCAATTTGAGATTAGTTAATCTAATGATTTCCAAATGGTTAAAATGAAGAGGCGGCCTTAGCCTCAATTTAGTGTTATTATTGCTAATATTACTATTGCTCTTGGCTGGCAGAGTGGAAACGGCTCTTGTACGTTTCCCTTCATCTCTAGGAAGACACTCTAAATAAAGGGGAATGGTAAAGCAGTTCAATTAGGTATCAAACTTGCGTATAAGTGGGCAATGATGATGCTTCAAGAGTTCCATGGTCGTATATGAATCATATCCTTCTCTTCCTTGCGATTGACTTCGTGATTCATGGCTTCGATCATTTCTGCTATTCAAAACGTATTGATCGATTGATTCACTTACCCGGTTGGTCATGTCTTTTCGAGTTGCTTGAATTTCTCCACAGTCAGGAGTAATTAACCTAGACCAACAACAGTTTTTTTTAACAGGGAAGTTAACTAGTTCCCTCTCACTGTGAACTCTAAGCACCTTATGGTTTATTTGTGTTGTGAATTGCATTGCATTAGTTATTCTTCAATTCACTTAGAACCACAAGGCTATTATTTTATTCGGTCATTCGGATTCATCATTGTAGCTGTGGGTAGGAGATGTCATTTGGAAAGTATAAGGCCATTTGAGATCTCGGCCTTTTCGTTTCTTACCTTCAAAGGGAGCGTGCCCCCCCCTCCCCTCCTCCCACTAAATTTGCTATTCCTTCTGGAAGTTCTTCTCGAAGCGGCTTTTATTCAACAGCCGATGTATATCAACTGCATTTTCTTAAGTAGGTGTAGACATCATAATGAATTTATTGCATACTTTGCAAGTTTATAGGAAGGCAGAGAGAGGGTTAAGAGAGAGAGAGATCTATGAGGCTTTTTAGTGGAATTTGCCATGTCTTCGCATTCCTTTTTTCAGTTTGGTTTATTTCAGGAGGAGGTTATATTCGTGGTGGGATTTCTTGTCATTTTGTTGTTTGGTTTTGAATTTGGATCCTTTTGTTTGAAAATATCTAAGAGCACAAAAACGTATGCAAAGTAATATATTTTCCAACGTCCTCATACGCTTGTTGTTTTACTCGGTAACTTGGTCTGCTATTGTGCTGCCATTCGGATATGTGGCATTATAGTCATTGTTTAAAGTATCTGAATACTGGTCACTTGAAGTCATTGTTTGATAGTGGGGCTTTTGAAACGCTGTCACACACCTCTCTTTTTAGTGCAAGGTTGACACCTTCCTTTTTTCCCAACAGTGAATAGAATTGAATTACTTAGCTCTCGAACGCGTTCTTCTGTGAGGTTATGTTGCTTAGTGTGAGGAGAGAGGACTACAATTATTTGCTGTTTCAGCCTTGATGTGCTGGTCTCAGATGTCCTGATCTTTTTGCGCTTTTTTCTCTATGTAAGATTACTAGACAAACGCTATGGAGCAAAATAGAAACTTAGTGTTCTGTAGTGATGCTTGGCCGCCAGATTTTTGGCTATCACTGCTGTTTTAATCAGAAATGGTTTAACTTCGTATTCTGTTACATTGATTAAAATTTGCCTTTTTTACAATCTTCAAGGCGGATATTCGAAAGGAGCTAAATGAGTTCAAATCAAAGGAGATGGATGTTCATGAAGACAGCAGGCAATTCACAAGGTTTGTCAATAATCTACCTACTCATTTTTGTTCAGTAGGGATATT